CACCGTGGGATTAGGACTACAATTCAACGCTCTGCAGCAAGCAGGAAAAGCTGGCAGGAGGGGAAGAAGCCAGGGCTGCATAAAGCCAATTTTTCATTCGTACTTTCTATCATGTTTCTTGAGGGGACTCCGTGGGTTCACTCCTGAGCTCCTGCTCAGTGCAATACAGGTTCCTCAGGCCTTTCCAAATTACATTCACCTCTAAATACCGAACGTGTTTGCAAAACTGAAGCAGGGTAAGCCTCTTGTTCTGGAAAAATACTCTTGGTACGAATGCTTCCCTCCAAATGACCACGCCTCCCGATTCCTCCATCCCCATCAACTCCTAAAGAGCTACACAGTGATACTGAAATGTGTTAATCTGATAGCAGCTAAAACAATACATTTTCAATTAGAGTTTTAGTTGGCTTTGTTTTGGTTTTAGCCAAAATTGACCTCTTAGCTGCCTGAGGAAGCTTGCTGAATACACAGACAATCCCCACTACTCACACATGGCACCAGCGTCTCCTTGGGGTTCTTTTTGCTTACATGAGCAATTTTATTTGTCCCAAAATTATTCATCCACATAATTACCACACAATCATTTAACAACAAGAACTGACAAGTTTTAGCACTCTTATTCTCTTTTTTAATTGATTAGTTCCTTTAAAAGGTGAATCTAGTTTCCCCATAATGGCAGTCAGGATCTTATTTTTTGGAAATACTGAACTGATTAATTGATTTGTTTGATCAGTAGGAGACATACTGTAATGACAAACATACTCAGCCATTTCAATAATCCCAAATCAAACTATTACTGAACTTTAATATTGTAGATACTGGTGTTTAAAGTTTGGAACTGTCACATATTAATAAATTTAGTAGGGATAACTTATCTAAAATCTACACATTACACTTAAGAGTATCTGTTATGAGAAACACACTGATTTAAGTCAGGTGTCAGAACACTTGTCAGCTTGAGGCCATTTTGAATACTTCAAGTTGTCTATTAAGGATGTACTTCCCCGCAGGAATCTACTTACCTCACCTGGATTTTACAGAATGGTCTGGGTTTATTCTAATAGCAGCACTTCAACTCTTCTGAATATTCTTTCAAATACATTGATTAATGTAGTCTTTTTCAAGTATCTTGCAAAATGGCCACAGTGACATCTGGTCTGACTTGTGCAAGGTATCTCACTAGGAAAATGAAATTCTTTTCCGACGTTGCCCAACGGGAGGATGCTCCTGTTCCTTCCAGGAGCAGCCAGCTCAATATAGGAGCAAGATGCATGCAATGTGAAAGAGTGCTGCCTTGAAAAAAAAAAATACATGTTCATCTTCTCTTTAAATGGAGGATTTGAATATTTTTTCCTGAATTCAATGTTCTCTCAAACCAATAACTTTCTTGGCCTCTGATGGCTATTTGTAGTGTTCTGCTGATGGTTTTACACGCAAGCAGTTCCTATATATCATTCTTTCAATTGCGCTCTTTGAATTTCACTTTCTTATTGAATTTCATAGGTGATTTACTTTCTCTTTGGCTACTACCTCCTGAGAAATAATTCCATGAATGAAAATAAGGGGTAGATATCACTCTTAGGTGTGGATCCAGTGGGAACCCACATGAAATGCTGTAAAAGTCCACAGCATGCGATGCTCACAACAATCTTAGAAAACACTTTCATTAATGACCTACAAGAGGGAGAGGACAATGTTGAAAGATGGGAGGAACTGCAAGCTACAATGAAAATGCAAAAATATAGAGCTCCCTTGAACTGTTAGAAACTCATGCAAGGGAAAAAAAAACCCAAGTACATGAAATTACAAATATTATGAAGAAGGAAATAAAGATTCATTGTCAGCTGTCTCTTCCAAGGGGCATTAAATGATGCTAAAAGATTCAAAGCAAGATTTACTTCACTCGTGCAGTTCTGCTGCAGAACTTCTTGCTGTGGGATATTAAGATATTTATATGTGTCCAAAATCCCAGGAGGCTGTCAAAGTACTCAGTAAGTATCACTAGATAGCTGCCCTGCTCTCATAGTCTTCTCTAACATCCACCTCTTGCCAGTGTCAGAGCTGGTAGGGCCGTTATTATGTTTGTTAGCCAAAGTTAATAAAATGCCATATGAAACCCAGAACACTGAAGGGAAAATCCTGAAGATAAAAAAAATCTGTCTAAAAAAAGCTTGAAGTGACTGAATTAGATAAATAGAAAGAAATAAATATGGAAGCAAGTAGACCAGTGCTAATCCGAGGCTGTTTCGGCAAGGACTCAGAAGTCCAGCTGAACTGGTGTGAACACACCCGGTGTGCAGCTGTAGGCACGTGGTCCCTTATCTCCAGAAAGACTGACAGGCAGGATGGGCTTCACAGAAGAACAACCACATGATTAAGGGACTAGCATGTGATTCATGAAGAATGATTTAAGAAAAGATCTTCACAGCTTGCTTAAGCAATGATGAAAACCAGAAGTGACAGCCAGGAGAAGAAATAGCTTAGATTTATTTAAAGAGTGTAAACTTCGTAACAAGAGGGAAAGAATTAGGTTCATACAAAAGGGGCTGAAGTTGAAAAGTAACATGAGGTGAAATATCAAGAAGCATGACCAAGGTTGGGAATCATCTTGTCATGGCTTGTGACACACAAAAAAGTATGGACGAGGAAACTTCAGAGAATATGTGGTAAGGGACAATCGGGTGCTGACCCACTGGAAAGATGAGGGGTGCTCGGGACTCCTACGTGACCCTGATGCTCACCCTGGCAGGGTGCTCATGCTCTCACAGAACAGATGCCACAGAAATTCTGCTGTTTCTCATGATTTCCCCTTTCATGGTGAGCAAAAGTGTTACTCACAAGCACTTTCTCCTGGAATACATGTGCCATTAGTAATACCTGATGTTCAGAACAGCCACACCACGGGCTGCTTCTGCTGTCCAACTCTAACCAGATCTCTAGGGCAGAGGGGTCACAGTAAGGAGCAGTCCTAGGTTTAAAAACTCTGCAGTACAGGAAGAGTAGGCAGTTGTTCATTAGCCAGCTGCAGAATGACATGCTGGCAGCAAGTCAGTGACAGCTAAGATTCGTTAGCCACTATTTCACTTCCAAATCAGATAAAACACTGGGACTCCGCGCTAGAAGGATACTCCAGATGCTGAAGCAGTACAGGCAGCATCCAGCTCTGCACTGTCTACCATAACATCTCCCTCTGCCTCACCCATAGTGAAGGCCCTCAGCTCTGGCCAGAGAAATGGTGCCTCTGCGGTTCAACATATACTGTGCCACTAGACGAACCTCTTCCTTGAAAAGGCCCTTCGTGGGAAATCAAAGGATCTTCTTTCCAGCCCAGCATCAGATAGTGGGTGCAGGCAACACTAAACTCCCGACAGGTCTCTCCCCTCTTGACCTGGTGTCCTACAGGGTCACAAGGGGAGAAGTGACCCTCCAGCCAGCTCACTCTCTCTAGAGGCAAAGCACTAGGGCCTGTTGCTCAGAGCAAAATTGTAATGCGACAGGTAGGATTTCAGATGATGAGCCATTATTTCTGAAGACCAGTGGAAATCCTGTCAGCATGCAGGTTATCTACAAGCTGTTAGGTCAGCAGGAGTCCTGCCAACACAACAGGGTAAGAAGCACAACTTGCTTTTATAAAAATGTCACTCTTGATTGAGCACAAGAATGAGGGCGGTGAGGGGTTCAGGACTGAGGGAAAAAGGGCTGTACTTTTGTTTGGGAGGATCTCCCTGTCCCTGCACAGCGTCATGCCTCAGCAGCTTCCAGCATCAGCGTTATCTTGCTAAGTGCCCTCTGAGCTACCTTCCAAACCCGCGAGGGAGCAGCCTCCTGGGCCGTCTCTTTAGCGAAGAAAGAGCACAGGCTAAAGGAACAGATCGGCGGGTGCTAGGCATGCGTGAGGGACTGAGCAGAAGGAGGAACCAGGGAAACCAGGACCCTCCCAACACAATGTAGCACTCAGGCCAGTGCCTCTTGTAGAAACTGCTATGCACCAGCCACAGAGGCGGCCACCGCCACTGTGCGGAGGGCCAGTTTAACTGCAGCCAGCCAAGAAACATCACCTGCACCAGCAAAAACGGGTTCAAGGCTTGACCATTACAGCCCTGTGCCCTGTGCAGCAGCCTGGCGGGAGCGGGGCATGGGGAGGAGGGAGGCAGCAGAAGCTGCTGGAGTCCACCCTTGTGAACGTCGTGTTTGGTCTGTCTAAGCACATTGTGCCTCCCACGCTGTGCACAGCAGCTCTAAGTCTTCTCCGGCTTTTTGGGCTGTAATGATTGCTTGCGTACTGGCTGCCATGCACGCCAAAGGCTGGTGCTGGCACAGCCCTGTGGCTCAGACTTCTCCTTACCGCCAGAGGATTCACCACACAGCAGCGATACTCCACACAGCCTTGTTCTACCTCCTCACAGTGGCACAACAGGACTGGCATGCAATTAAACCCCAAACATTAAAAATCATTAACAAAAAATTATCCCCAGAAACTTTCAGGGAAGCTTCACTTGAGGAGGCCAAAGCAGTGAAAGTGCAGAGACGGTGCAAACACCTCACTGGGTCTCACCCATCATTCCCACACTGTGGTCCTAGCTGCCTGCGACATCCCTGCGCATCCTCCTGCCCACACAAATCCTCCCACACCGCCCACCCAGACCCGCTCTCCAGGAGGCTCTCTTCTTGCCTATGCCACCACGACCTTGAAACACTGCAGTCTTTCCTTGCACACCAGCTCCCCTTCAAGGATTTAGGATTCCCTCTGTTATACACACCCTGAATCACCGGTGCAACACGTGTTGACACGTACAGCACATGTTGACATACAAACACCAAATACCAATCTGCCAAGAACAGCTGATCTGGCTACCTACTCATCGAGAGCAGGGGAGTGGACAGCCTGGGGAGGCTTACTGAGAGCAATATCAGCCTTCCCAATGCCGCTACCTTTTCTTCAGGGAGGGATGAACATGGCTGAGAGGGGCAGGATAAGAGGGTCCAAGAGATATGATTACCTGTATCCTGTCTTCTGGCAACTCTGTTTTCATGGCCAACATCTCTCTAGCATATACGTCAGGATAGTGGGCCTCATTGAAGGCCTTTTCCAGCTCCTCCAGTTGGTAGGATGTGAAGATTGTCCTGAGGGGAGTAAAACTCTTTGATCAAAAAACATAAGAAGAAGCAGCGAAGATGAAGAATCAGAGAAATGGACACAGAAGCTACAGAAACCTGGGTAACCTGATAACGCGTAGCTTTTCCCCCCATCTCCTGAGTTTCTGTACACAAAAGGTCAAGTGCCAGGGTGAAAGGAGAACCAGAAAATGCCAGAAGACAGCACTTTAAACAGTTACAAATCACCCTCCCTTTAGTGACTTCCCTCTGGAGACGGTCCCTCCCCAGCAGCGAGCACCCGCAACCAGCAGCGAAGGCAGCTGCTCTTACATCTCAGACCCTGCTGCCTCTTGTGAGGATCCCGGGGATGTCCCTATCCCTCACCCCGCCTCTGACAGGAGGGTGCACCCACCCCTGGCCTGGCTTAAAACCACCCCCCTCCTCCTCTTGAGGTGAGGAGAAACCTCCAGAGGTTTCTTAACCCTTTGATAGTCACGCCGAGACAAAGCAGCATCCCCTCAGTACCCCACCTGGAGAGGTGCTGAGCCCTTCCCTAGCTGTTGGTCCTTAGCCTCTTCAATCTCCTCGAGCAAATAATCCTCCCCTGGAGCCCCAGCCCTCAGCTGAATCCTTCAAAGGTTTTATCCATTCTGCTCCCCACTGCTTTTCACCAGTCCTTCCCTACGAGAGCCAGTGCCAGCTCCCTTCCTCTGCCTTTACCCTGGTTGCTTCCACTCCGATATCCCATTAGCTGCTCCCTGCCAGTTTGCATTACCCCATTATCCTCTGGAAATCCTCCTGGATCGCCCTGGGTGGGCACCAGCCCAACCCGCCTCTGTGCAGCCAGTTCTCAGCTCGGGACAACCAGATTGAAAAATCAGGAGCTGGAAAGCCGAGACGGATGAAAGCCCTTCCCCAGGGGATGGATGAGAGGTCTCGGACCGCTTGCACTCCCCTGAGGGTTAAAACTCCTACCCTCCAACTCCCCCGGTACACAAAACACAATTTTCGATAAAAACTGACAACACTCCAACAGCAAAAACACCCCCAACAAATTGCACCTTTTGTTCAAAGTAAATGTATAAATATATTATCAAACTAAGAAACATGTAGCTCCCAAATGGGGGAAGGAAAGAGGAAAAAAAAGTCTTTTTCTAAAATACATCCAAATTTCAGAAAAGCCCTACAATTCCAGAGAGCATAAACAGAAAATCTCAGAAATATCCTCCGCTATTCAGAATCAAAAGGATTCCACCGGATCGATAACATTACTAACAAAAGCAGCATGCAAATGCAAGGCACCTGCCTGCAATCAGATCCTTCTTTAAATTCACTCCTAAATCCATTCTCTTTTCAAACAGTTTTCCTTCAGCTCCAACAAATCTGTGAACTCTAGGGACAGCAGAGGCACATTAACTCATGTATTTTCTCTCTCTGGGACCACAGGAAAAATTATTCCAATTTTCATCCAGTTTAGATTTCAAGCATTCTGCTCCACCCTCCTCTGACCAGAGTGCCGAAGCCCAGCAAGGCTCACTGGTGGAAGGGTTTTGCCTGACATTCAGCTGAAGTTTTCCCCTTTTAGCTCTCGTCCCTGGGTTGCCCCTGTCTCTTTTGCAATACACAATCCACTCTCCCTTTTGGTGTTTCTATCCTGCAGATATCTGCAGAGTACTGGCCTGTCATATCCCAGCCAGTTCCTGGTACAACTAGAGGTCTTAACCATTTAGTGCAGAATATACAACTACAGCGAAATGTTGCAGGTTTGTTTCTGTCTAGAACTGAAAATAAAACAAATCTGAATTTCGTTTCCTCTCTCCCACCCAGACTGTGACCTGGACACCAGCCCCTACTGTGTTTTCATCCAGCCCTGTCTGGTCCACAAAGAAAACGAACCCATATTTACTCGAGCACCCAAATTGGGAGCCTTTGCCTGGGGAGGGACCCCGGGTTTGGGATGAGCCCTCCAGACCAAGCCTCCTGTTGCACGAATAGCAGGACGTCTCCTGGCATAGTCCATCTCCTTCCACCCCGCAGCCTGCTAAGCTTTCACTGGGGCATCTTTTAATCCACCCTTCCTGCATCGTGGCAGGATTGATTTAATTATTCCTAAATCACCCTGGGTGGATGGTGTCTGGCCTGCCTTTGTCCTGACTCTCCGGCCACAGCAATGCCAGAACTGAGCACGGGATTTTTCGTTTCTGTTTATAAGGCGCAGACAACCCAACTCCATTTTAACTGTGGGAGAAGTCAGGCAAAGTCTATTACCCTGACCGTTCCCGAGGGGAAACCAAACCCCCTCCGGATCTCCCAAAGTGGATCTTCATTTCCTTAAGCAATTCTCCAGCCTTCATCAGCTTCTCTGCAGGCTGTGTCTGCTTCCCAACTATTTAATCTATTGGCAAAACATTTATTTATAAGTAATAAAATATTTAAATCATTGATAGAAATTGTCCCTTGCTGAGAGCCAACATTAAGATTGCAATATGCGGAGCAGGGAACAGTTTTGATTATTTAACCGCTTCAGTTTCAGACAGCTTGATGATTTTTTTCCCCCTGAACACTGGTGATCCGCATCGCACCCAGATGCTCACGGGCTGCTCAGGTTTGCGGCTCGGGATACCTGGATCTGCAGCCAGAAAAATTAAATAAAATGACACCTGTGGCCGCTCCCTATAGGCACGTCCCCAAATCCGATTTATTTTGGACGGGGAGAAAGAAAGAAGGGAAGGGCCCGGGGGAGAAGCCGCAGGGGCG